TTATGTTATGTATTATCTCCTAACTCTTGAACTTTTTGATCTTTGATGTATAAGGCTTCTATTTTCATGTAAATAGTATTGTGGTTTTGTATGATGGTTTTATGTTGTTAATAGATATGGGTTTATGGGACACTAATGTGTTGGAAAATGAACTAGGTATTAATTAAAAAACAAATCTTTTTTTATATTACTTACAGGAATTTGATTTTTGATATATGTTTGGGTTATCTTCTCTGTTATTGAGACTATACCTTTTTTAATCATGCATATATATATTTTTTTATTCCGCTCAAAACATTAAATTGTTCAACAGAACCCCTGATCAACACATATGCATTGATTTCTATTGTTTAACAAACAATATGAGAATTTCAGAGAAAACTATAATCATATCTCAAATCAAGAGAATAAAGGAGGGTGAATGTTTTCTATAATCCTTGATTTTTTTTGTTAATCTTTTGTTATCTTCTTGTCAAGATCAACTAAGTGTGTTTGATATGTAGACTGGACAGAACATGACTGAACATGCAAGAGTGAGATAGCTAGGTGAAACAATTGTGGAAATTTTAGGATCTTAATTTAACATGGGTAACTTTTTATCAAGCTTGTCTCGTCTCCTTAATTTTTGTTCCATCTAATTTGATAGGGACAAACATAAAACATTTTTGTCTAACTAAGGGGCCATTTACCAAACGCTTACTCGGGTAAGCGCTTACCAAGTCACATTATCTCACGGGATGAATATGGAGAGTGAGACAAAGACCAATAGTCTTACCCGGTAAGTGAGAGCGACGACTCTTACCATGGTAAGCACTTACCGGGTAAATTGTTACATGTAATGTCGTTTTGGTGGACTAAAATCTTACCCAGTAAGTAAATAATAATGTTAAATTTTATTGGTAAGCACTTACCGAGTAAGTATTTGGTAAACGGCCCCTAAAAGTCTTGCCATGTTTTAGTCTAAATATCGCACCATACATACAAAAACAAGTTTTTGTTACGTTCTATCACATCTTGTGATGTTCTATCCCATCTTATCTCACGTACCAAACGAACCTTAATCTTTGCAATTAGTAACTCATAGTTCATAGATTTCTTCTAGCAATGTTAATAGATATTCGTTTTCAATTACAAAATTCAATTATTCATTGCATTTATTTGAAAAGTATTCAATGAGTTATAATTACATATTATGTTTTTAAAAAGTAAAAGCAATTGTCTTCGTCTTTGCTTTTACAGGCTGAATGGCTGATGGGCTGTTGGTTGGTAACATTTCAGCATCTCCAGGGTTCATGATTTTGTATCTTTTTGTTTTCTATATATTTCATAGACCTAGGGATGCATAAAAACCCGATTAGCCGAACGCGAAATAATTCAATCCGAAGTAACTCGATGTTTAATCAAGTTGTAAAATTTTTAAACCGTAGGTATTAGGTTGATATTGGGTTACTATTATTTAAACCCAACTCAACGTGATGAACCTGATATTCATTTATTTATTGGATTTAATATGATTGTTGAATTTCTATTAATATATAGACTAGACGATTACACTATCACGTACGCTATTTATATACACATCTTTTCAATCTATTTACATCTCTATATGACTCATTCGTATATATATTCAGTAACTGTAAATATATATACGTAAATTGAGAAAATTAACTGAATGTAATATACGTAAGAAATATGGATAAGTTGTATCAAATGGTTGATGATGAAAAAGAAATTATGAGTAGAGAAATAACATATTCAAGGTTAGAAGAATTATTTTAATGTATCAAAATATCAACCCGACCAACCCGACTAACTCGTACGCGTTTGGGTTGGGTTGGGTTAAATTTTTTCAAACTGCAAGCATTGGTAAGAGCGAGACAAGGACAAGAGTCTTACCCGGTAAGTTAGGGCAACGACTCTTACCATGATAAACATTTACCAGATAAATTGTTACATACGATACCGTTTTGGTGGATTAAAATCTTATCCGGATAGTAAATTATGGTGTTAAATTTATCGGTAAGCGTTTACCGGGTAAGTGTTTGATAAACGACCCCTATTCTGTTAGATTAAATACAAGGGAGAGTCAAAGAAATTTCAAGTTTTGTTTTTACTATTTTACTATTTTGCCATTTGAATGTTTGTTTTGTTACTAGTTGTGTACCAGCGTAATGCGGCGGGAGCCATGAATTTTAACGATTTTGAAGTTCCACTGGTTTTATAAGATAAGATTTAACGATAATATAAGTTACACTTGGTCTTTACATATTAATACAATTTGAATAAATAAGAGTTATGGTTCCAATTACAGACTATCGATAAAAAAAATTGTATGACAGTTTAAAATCCAATATATTTAAAATCCAATATATTTAAAATCCAACATATTTAAACGATTCCATAAATGTATTCGATTTACACCAAGAGCAAAGAACCAAGAAACTTAAGTTTTAAAATAAACATTTAAAACCAATAAAGAAAACTATAAATTTAACAGATCATAAGGCATAAAAAGACAAATTTAACAGAGGTGTAAAAAGTAATAAAAATGGAAAAACATTCTCGTAAAATTTGCAACTATTTAGGAAAAGAAAAGGTTGTGGGTGTGCAGGGTTTGACGAGTACAAATTGGATTGGATGAAAATGGCGGTGAGATCTCACGCCATTACCAATTACCAAGAAGTGGATGGTGGGTGGGCTCAAATTCAAAAAGTTAATTGTTTTATAACTTTTTTTTTTTTTATAGGGGATCACTTATAAATGTTTTATAACTCTTTTTTAATATTGTTTTCATTTTAATTAATTAATTAACAATTTATATATGTAAACATTTAAAGCTACAAAGATAAAATAATGATACAAAAAAATCATCAAAATAAATTAATTGATAAATCAATAAATAAAGTATAAAAAATTTGAAAGTATTATAACTATAAGTAGTCTGACATTCTTTGCACTTCGATCTAGTCCTTCGACGTGATATGAACATGGTTGCTTTTACAATTGGATACACTAACAGTAATCATTACGTGAAAATATCTTTGGCAAAAAGACACCCGATGCCTTCTATCGTGTCAGATTGGTTTCGTTTCAAATATAGTATGGGTAGTATCCTAAATTGAAAATACATAAAAAAATTATATATTTTTAAAACTTTAAGACTTTTATTTAATGATGATATATTTATTTCAACTAATCAATAATAATTATAACTATATAAAACACATTACTCAAAATCAGTAATTTAAAATATTAAAATTTGTTGCACTCATTCCTTAGTGGCCACTAAGCGGGCATGCACCTTTTGAAATTGAAGTCCATTCATTATGAATCTTCAAACCAAATATTAATTATTTTATTTTTAAGGGAAAAGTACAATAAAAATTAATGGACTTTCTTGTTTGAAATGATTAAGTATTTGAACTTTTTTTTTGGAACAAATAAGTTTTTGGACATTCCAAAACATGTTAAATAAGTCATTGGACATTCCAAAATATGTTAAATAAGTCATTGGACAATTTTTGGAACAAATAAGTCCTTGGATATTCCAAAAAATGTTAAATAACTCCTTGGACAATTTTTGGAACAAATAAGTCCTTGAACAATCCAAAACATGTTAAATAACTTCTTGAACTTTTATAAAACATGTTGGATACATTCTTATGACTTGTACAACTAGTTAAAGTGGTAAAATAGAGAAAAAAAATCCGGAAAAAACCCCAATGAACATTCATATTTTGAACGATAAAGTGGTAAAATAGTGAAAAAAATCCGAAAATATATTTTGTCAGAAAGTTTTTAAACTAAAAAAATAAAAAAAATTATAAAATATATTATTTTTAATTAAAATAAATTTCACCAGTAATCTTTTTAAATTTTTTTTAATTTAAAAAATCATATACATGATATATATATTTTTAATTAAAATAAATTTAATAATAATTATTTTTTTTGTTTGAAAAATAACTGACAGAATATATTTTAATTTTAATTAAAATAAACTTTATCAAAAAAAAATTAAATGTAATTATTTTTTTGTAAATGTAAGTACTTTTTTGTTATATTTGTTTAATTTTATAGATCTAAATACTTTTTGGTTCAAAAAATATTTAGGGGCTTAATCGTTTAAAATATGAATGTTCACTGGGTTTTTTCTCGGATTTTTTTTCACTATTTTACCACTTTAACTAGTTGTACAAGTCATAAGAATGTATCCAACATGTTTTATAAAAGTTCAAGAAGTTATTTAACATGTTTTGGATTGTTCAAGGACTTATTTGTTTCAAAAATTGTCCAAGGAGTTATTTAACATTTTTTGGAATGTCCAAGGACTTATTTGTTCCAAAAATTGTCCAAAAACTTATTTAACATATTTTGGAATGTCCAAGGACTTATTTGTTCCAAAAAATTATCCAATGACTTATTTAACATGTTTTGAAATATCCAAAAACTTATTTAACGTGTAAAGGCATAAGGAATCTTGGGGGAGGGGAGGCCTGTTGTTGGGAGAGGGGATGGGTGTATTTGGGTATTAAAAAAATTAAGGATGGGTGTAATTGTGCTGTTCTTTGTCTCCTCTTTTCAACTAAACTTCACGCCTCTAGATTGTTTATTCGTATGCTTTCTTTATTCAAGATTACACAGAAATGTGGCGTTGGAATTTGGGCTTTCTGTGCATCTTTTTAGGGCTGCAAACACAACCATGCTTGTTCCCTTCTCTTGAGATGTGCATCTTTTTAGGGTAGGGTTTAAAGGGTAGTACCTTATGCTTAAAAAGTTGTACATTTTTTAGACTTTTAAGACTTTTTACATTATAGGGTACTATATTTGTTTTTAAGAATTTGGGCAAATTTGTTTTATAAAGTAGTATAATTTTTGCTTTCGGTGTTGTGCGAATCCAACTCCATAAATTTAAACATTTACAATGATGACGCGCTTCAATTCTTTTGAGAGTACGTTTTAGCAGACCATTCAAGACTTGTGAATCTTTCATATTCCACTCTTTCAGACATTCTTTCCAATGGCTTCCAGTTCTTCCTCTTCTAGCATTGCTTCACCTTCGGCTAACTATGACATCTTTCTAAGCTTCAGAGGCGAAGATACTCGTCATTCTTTTACCGATCATCTCTATGCCGCGTTAATCCGAGCAGGAATTTCCACTTTTCGGGATAATGATGAAATCAGTAGAGGTGAAGACCTCAAACCGGAAATTGAGACAGCAATCACAGCATCCAAGGGCTCGATAGTTGTATTGTCTAAGAATTATGCAACTTCAACATGGTGCCTCGATGAGCTTTGGTTGATCCTTGAGCGAAGGAGRGAGTTAGATCATTTCGTTCTACCGGTATTTTATCATGTTGATCCCTCTCATGTTARAAAGCAAGATAATACTTTCAAGATACAAGTTAAAACCTCTTCAAAGTGGACGGATGATAACGTGAAACGATGGAGACAAGCCCTTACGAAGGTTGCCGAATTGTCAGGCTTGGTTCTTTCAGGGTATGCTTTTTTGTCCCAGCTTATAATTTAATTGGATTGTTTCTTTGTGAAAGGATATACGAAGGTCCTGTAAATGTGTCTCCTGAGTATTCCTAGACCATTTCTTCTATGAAGAGGCCTGAGTTCCTCAGATCTTGAATATCATTCAAATTTCTTAAGGTTTCAGAATGCTAGTATTCCCCCCAAATTTAAACTTATACTGGTAGACTGTAATTCACATTTGGAACACCTGATTGTTTTAGCATTGTTTTCATTAGAACTTGTGTGAAACAAGTCTTGAATGCCATCAAATGAACTAGATCACTTACCTTGTTTTGTTACAGGTCAGAAACAGAGTTTTTGAAGGAAATCATTGATAACGTTTACTGTAAAGTTGGTCACAAAATAGTTAATCTTCCACGCAATCTAACAGGGATGAATGCTCGAGATAAAGATATTAACTCCTGGTTAAAGCAATCCAACAACAAGGTTCTAATAATTTGTGGCATGGGAGGAAGTGGCAAGACCACGTTGGCAGAGTACATTGTCTCTTCAAATCGGCAACATTTTGAAATCATTAGCTTTTTAAAAGACATGGGTAGTATACATCAAAAACAAGGTAATATTGATGTGTTGATCCAACAATTTGCCAAAGATATTGTAGGAGAGGGGAAACCCCAAGTGTCGTACGGGCGCTATTACACAAATAGAGTTTTAAAAAGGAAAAAGGCACTTATTGTTTTTGATGACATTGATGAACCAAGACCACTGGAAAAATTTATCAATTTCCAGGAAATTAATGGAAAAAGCAAAATTATAATGACAACCAGGAACAATAATACACATAATTGGTTTAGGTCTCGAACTTGGAGTTGTCATGAGTATAAGATGACATTACTAGATGATGAAGAAGCATTAGAGCTCCTAAGTCTTCATGCCTTTGGATTCAAAATTCCTATGGACGGTTATGAGGAACTTACAAAAGAGGTGCTACAGTATTGTGAAGGAAATCCACTGGCTCTTGAAGTGTTGGGTTCCTCTTTATCAGAGGATATTAGCATCCTATTTTGGAGAAATACATTGGATTTATTGAAAAGAGATATGAATTCTGGAATCCAACATGTACTCATAAGGAGCTATGACTCATTGCCAGATAGAAATAGCAAAGAGTTGTTTTTACATATTGCTTGTTTCTTTGTTGGCGAAGACAAGGATTATGTGGAAAAAATATTGGAGCTTGATTATTGTGCATCATCTGGGATCAAAGTCCTAACCAATAGATGTCTTCTTTCTGTGTCACCAAACAACAAACTGATGGTGCATCAATTGATTCAAGAGATGGGGAAAAGCATAATCATTGAAGAATCAAAACGCCCTGTAGAACGTAGTAGAGTTTGGCGTAGTATTGAATCTTACAAGATCTTGCACAAAGGAGAGGTAAGACGTTTCTTGTGTTGATGTTTAAGCTTATATTTCCTTTCCCACCCTCCTATTTCATCTAAGATTCTATCAATTCCTCTAATTCCTGTTTAGGGTTCCAAAACAATGGAAGGTCTAGCACTTGATATGCAAGTTTTGTGGGATGATAATCCGCAAATTTTGATGGTCAATATTCTAATTCTCTCTCATATTTTAGATTATACTCTTTTTATGCTCAACACTCGCTATGTTATCTTTCTGTCCCAATCCATTCTTTAGAGTACCTTAATACAAGAAGTAGTTTCTTAAATTCTAGATCTGATGTACGCTTACTTGCTCTCTTCCATGTTAAATTTGCAGTCTTTAGATCTTAAGACCGATTCACTTACAAAAATGGATAACCTAAAATTGCTCCACCTAAATGATGTGCATCTCATTGGATCCTACGAGGATTTTTCAGAAGATTTAAGATGGCTATGCTGGCGTAAGTTCAATCTAAGAGCCATACCCTCCGGCTTATTCTTCAAAAGCTTGGTGGCTATAGATATGCGAGATAGCAAGTTGAAAGTATTTGAACCGCCAATTGTAAGAAATTTGACATCCTCTTTTAAATGCAGATTTATAGTGTGCGCAAAATAATTCTTGTTACTCTTGCAACAGGTTCTTCAATTACTTAAGTCTCTAAATCTTCAATCCTCAAAGTCTCTGTCCACAATCCGCAATATCTACCGACTCCCTAATATTGAGACTTTGATTCTTTGTCAATGTGATGAACTGGTTGATGTTTGTGAAACCATTGGAGACCTAAAAAATCTTGCTCTATTGGACATGTCAGAGTGTCCAAAGCTCTCCAGGAACCCAACTTCAACGTTTGGTGGAGGAAGTCCACAACAAACTTCCTTTTCTTTGCCACATTCTTTAGTGTGGTTATCCATTAGAGACTGCGGCCTTGATGGTACTGAAAAATTTCCTCTAAGTTTCAGCATACAACAAAAATTGCAGTACCTGGATTTAGGCATAGGTTTGTTTGAAAGCTTGCCCAACTACAATCATCTTGAAAATCTTAGGGTACTACACGTGACTTTAAGCTGTAGACTTAAATGGCTTCTCTGTCTTCCAAGTGCACTTGCAGAATTGTATGTATATGGTTGTTCCTCGCTATATAAAATAACTTTTGAATCACATCGGTTCACACTGCATGAGTTTGGCTATGATGATTGTTATCAGTTGAGTGAAGTGGAAGACTTCTTTAAATTGGTGCCGGTAGCCAGACTTGATGAAACTGATTTGGGACACTTGAAGTGGCTAAAAAAATATCAACATCATCATGTGTTCCTGATTCGTGATGATCAGATCATGAAAAACAGAAGCCAAAGGATCCAGGTTCTCTATTCTTTTCTGAATGACATGCATAAGCACACACAAGCACATCGGCATGCCACCTGAACTAATTATATATGTGTGACTGAACCCTATTGTTTGTGGCACAGATGTTGTATGAATTCGGTATCTTGAGCACGCACCTGCCAGACATAAAGGATCCAAACATAACACCTGAGTATATATCAGAATCAACATCTCTGTCCTTTGAGGTGCCTTCATCTCCCATGGATAGGAGGCTCAAAGGATTAAATCTAACTTTCAAGTATACAGTATTATCATTATCAGGTCGAGACTGTACATGGTTTGCTAAAATCCGTACCAACAATGGTGTTGATTTGATGTACAATCCCATAGTCTTTGGCGATCCTGAAGATGGAGGAGCTGGCATATGGTTAAGTTATTGGCCAATAGGAAGCAAATTATTAGTGGGAGATGAAGTTAATGTGTCTGTCATTGTGATGAGTGGTATATTGAAGGTACATGGGTGTGGTGCAAGCCTTGTGTATGCGGATGCTGATGAAACCATGGAAATTAACATGCGATGGATAGAAACTCTTGGAGGGGACTTGTCTGCATTTCAACTAATGACAGGAGCATACTATCTTTGTCGGCGTGATTTTTTCAAGTTAATGGAGGTTGGCAGATTGGCACCAGGTTGGCTAAGTATTTTAGTCGGTGATACCATTGATGATAGAGGTATGTTATTCTTGTCAAGCTAATTATTAGCGTTCGCAATTGAATTTAATCTCCAAATCTCATATCACATATTGCTACAGAGGTACGAGGATGGAGAAAGACCGGTCGACCTAAGCCGTCATTTAACCCATCACAAACAGAGTTTTACCCATCATTTAACCAATCACGAATAGGTTTGTCACGTCCATCACTTACAAAGTTGCCAGACTCATTATATACAGAGGCGAAGAAGTTGTAGATGCATTGTCTAAGGTTCTGAGACGATAATTATGCTCTGTATTTTTATTTTTTTTGCATGAATTGGTTACAAGAACAAGTTGTGATGTGAGGGCCTGTATATGTGTGTGTGTGTGTATGATGTTGCATGTAAATAGGAGCTTAATTTGTATTTAGTTTGATAATACAATTCTCATTGCTCTCCATCTTCACAAACTCAAGGCGCTACCAATCTGCCACTGATTCAATATCCTATCTATTTCTATTTCTATTTCTATTTATTATTTAGTCGTCATGAAAATACTTTATAATTGATGAGAAGTACTATTTCCTTTTTTCGGAATTGATATTGTCATTAATTTTTCCAGGACAAATGATATGACAACTGTTACCGAAGGGTTATTAGTACATCTTGTAAAAACTATACGAATATGTCCAGCATTGAGCAATATTGTATCTGCATCATAATTTCATACACAAATTAGATCAGCGAGGTTCAAATAATAAAGGTAAAAATGTTGATAACATATGAATAAATGACTCATGTGAATCATTAGTAAAGAGAATATATGTGGGTTCACACACTTTATGAATAATTGTTAAAAAGCTAAGTAGTTAATTAACTACAAAACTGAAAACTATCAGCGACGGAAAAATTATAGGTAAAGAGAATACAGCCTATGTGTTGTATACACATATAACACATACACATGTGTACATATAACACATAAAAATGAGAATGGATTTTGGTCGTTCCCTCACAAATCCCTTGTTGATCAGTGACGGAATGACAAAACTCCATTTCCTCGCTAATGTATGGCTGATCAATGAGGGATTTGCGAGGGAAAGACAAAAATCCACTCTATCGTTAATCTGTCGCTGATCAACGACAGATTAGCGAGGAAAGTTGAACTATTCATTCCCTCTCTAATTTGTCGCTGATCAGCGAGAGATTAGCGATGAAATGGATTTTTTGTTGTTCCCTCGTAAATTCCTTCCTGATTTGCGAGGGATTTTTCGTTGCTAATACTTAGTTTTCTAGTAGTGTAAGTAAACATGGGTTTATTCAAGATATCCCCATCTTTTCTTTAACAAGGTGCATATGTATCTAAAAGCTAGAAATGAGCTTTTTTAAAGTATCAACTATTAGGGCACATTTGTATGGAAATCGACATGAGAAATGATACGAGTAAATCGAATGTTTGATTGTGTTATAGATCTAGTAGAATGAAAATGAATTTTAATTACCTAATTTATTTTTTTAAAATCCATTTATACATTTCCTTAACCACGATCATCTTCCAAATTCAAGAAGTAGACCGAAATTTGAGTCATGCCTTAATAATATAGCGAGATGTATCTCAATTTTAATTTTTTTAATTTATTTATGTCGATATAATACGGTTTTTAGTGATTTTGAGAAAGCAATAATGTTTTTATTTTTGAATAAAATATAAATTTAAATATATCATAAAATTTTGGGGAAAAAAATATCAATATTAGTATCAAATTTACTATTTAAAGTTCTGGTTTTTTGTATAATTTCTTTAATTCAATATTTTATTTATAATTTAATTTAGATTTAATAACGAAATATTTTTTTTATCGTTTAATAGTGATTAATTTGTATAAAGATAATAATTAAGTGTTTTATTACAACCAATGATTAAATCGTATCCTAAATCAATCCGAAATTAAAGGATGATAGATCAAGTTTTAGGACACAAGTCATAATTTTCGTTAAACCATAAGGACCAAATCTAAAATTAACTCTAATTAGTATTGRTATTTAAAATTGATAATTTTACTTTTAATTTACAAGTCTTTGCATTTTGTTCATGGAGGATACATTTTAAATACAAGATAGATATTTAACTTCATTGCACAAATGATTTTTGGTATAAAAAAATTACAATTCAATTTACCAAATATTGGTTACACTACAAGAAATCACTTCTATACCTCAAAGGCTATAGCGATGACATGCAATTCTTCGTTGTATGTATTAAAAGAGATTTTTTTCCCTCTATTTGAAGAGCATAAATTCTTTTTTTTTTAAATAAAACTCTACAGTGACGACTTGTCGTTGCAGTAAGTTTCCCATATTTTTTTTAACTGTTTTGTAGTAAATGAAAATGTGTTTTATAAAAGTTCAAATTATAGCGTCGACTGTTGTCGCAGTAGGTGTCCAATTTTTTTAATATTTTTAATAAATGAAAATATATTTTATAATCCATCAAAAGAATATGTTTTCTAAAATTCAAAATATCAACAACGTTGACTTCGTCGCAATAGGTGTCTAATTGTTTTTAACAATTTGTTAGTACTTGAAAACTTGTTTTGTAAAAATTAAAATTCTGGAGAATCCACAGTGTCGACATGTCGACGCTATAGGGTGAGTTTTTTTTTTTTGAAAAAAAAACATTTATATAATATTTTTAATAAACTAAACTAAAATTGTTGATAATACAAATATCTTTAAGCTTTAGGGACTTGATCGGAACTTAAATAAATTTATATTGGGAAAACATAATACGATATTTTGACATCGAACACTGATTGAAACCCTAATTGCAAATCATTCACGRCTCTGTAATCGTCCAYRGCTCCTCGTYGTAATCGTCCACGGCTAATTGAAACCCTAATCGCRGAGTTCAGAATAGTCGTCTCTCTTCTCATTGTTCTGCACTCTCACCACGGAGCTTAGATTTCATCRTACTCACCCCTCTTCTGGTCGTTGTGCACCCTCATGCACTTAAAGGTGMATKGTTTKATTTTGTGTCATTTTGCTGCAAGTTTTCATCTTTGCAATTTAKAACTTGAAATAGTCAAGATTRATTTGGAAATTTCAAGTCTTCTATTCAAATTTYTYAGTCTCTAATTACTTAAAACAGTMAACCATTTAGAAAATATTATTTCCATTTATAATTGATTGATTTGGATGCTTATCATGTTGAACTTGCCGATGAGAAACTTATAGTTAGATCTATTTAAGTCCCTTTGTAAATTATCAACCATCTGTTGCAATGTTTGAACAAATGACATTTGAATATCCATGTCCTATAATAATGACCATGTCTTACTGGTTGAAGACTGTGAGAATGTTCCTCATTTTTTATAGTAGCTTTAGTCCGTATTAGATTTATTTGGTTTGTTAAGGTTTGATCCAAACATAAATCCTAATGAACAATTTAGTCTCATTAAGATTATATAGAGTTAAGGATATATAACAATGGATTTATTATATTTTAGTCCAATTGTTGTAGAAAGAATTACATGCAATCTTGATCTCTATTTTCTTTTCCATCTACTTGTAAACTGACAAAAGATTGGAGCAACTTATCAAGCTATCAGTTGCTCCAAAGTTTATGGTACAATAGTTGGTTTGCTTAGGATCCAAATATTTAAAAATACAGAAACAAGAGAAGTAATTAAGAGAAATATGCATTAACGGAGTATGCAATTGGCTTGCATGGAGAGGAATAAATTGAAGTATGCCAAGTATTTGCGTGAAGCATAAAATCAATCAGTTAAATTAGATCATGAACCTGAAACATTAAAAGAATAGCATTCTACATTATAAAACAGGGGACTTATTAAATGATATATGTAGTTAAACAAACCCAACAGAAAACCTATGTAGAGTCATCAATGCAACTTTAATGGGATGTTTAGTTAGGGGTATTAAGCATAATTAATGAGATTATTCTCCCATAGGCCTAAATTTTCATTCCAGATTAAACTGGTTCATTCCCATTTTCGTTCTCATTCTCATTCTTTATCATTTTCATTTTATTGACATGCTTAAAGATAGTATTATACAGTTGAAAATTTTAAAATGTTTGAATTTGTTCTAGCTACTATCCAATTGTCTCTATCGCCATCGCTCAAGACCTTATTTGCATTGGCTATGTCGGGCAACCATTGTAGCAGCCACCATGCCAGGATGGGGATTTTGATGTGGATGACGATGAAGATGATGATGACATACATATTGACTCATACACCAATTAGATATTTATGTATTAATAGATTTGAGACACAATGTTTGTTTATGTCTATTAATTTTGTATTACGGTTTTCTAAATTATTTTATAATTATTTGAATATCAAATTAATCTAGTATATAGATTGTAAAACCAAATAAAAGAGTTAAAAGGTAGCTATAAAAAATTTAGTTTTTTTATTACCAGTGCAACGACATGAAAAATTAAAATTTTAGTTCCAATACAATTACTCGTATGCATATGTGCATACTGTCCAGATGAATGATTACTAGGGTTTTCCTTTGAATCTCTCTCTCTCTCTCTCTCTCTCTCTCTCTCTCTCTACACACACACACACAAAAACACAAAAATTTTAACTTAAACGATCCTAATGTTTGCCCAAAACGACAACCTAAACTAGATAGATAGTTACTCAATTATAAAGTTTAAATTTAAATCCAACCAAAATAGATATTCTAAAGTTTTACGTATAACAATTATACGAAATACTTACCACAACCCGGACATACCGAAGTCACCTGAGCCTTGATACCTGAAGATGAGGGCTGTCCACTCGACCTCTTCTTATGCGTATAATCGAACAGTTCCAAAGCTGTAGGTGGCACGCTTTATTTTGATTACGTCTATAAACATCAAATAATAAGAACATGTGTTAAATATAACATATTACAAATCAAACTACTAAAGTAATGGGTTTTAAGGTCCTACCAGGCGGATTTATTTTTTTAAATTTTTTTAGTTTTTTTTAAATTTCCGGCGGAATTAGTCCGCCGGAAAAATTTAAAAGATTTTTAAAAAAAAATTTCTAAAAATATTTCCGGCGGATTTATTTTTAAATTTTTTTTAAATTTTATTTTTCTAAAAGGTTTTTTTATTTTTTAAAAATTATTTTTCTAAAGCTATTTCCGACGGATTTTTTTTAAATTTTTTTGAAATTTATTTTTCTAAAAGGTTTTTTTTTTATTTTTCAAAAATTATTTTTCTAAAACTATTTCCGGCGGATTTATTTTTTTAATTTTTTTAAATTTCCGGCGGAATTTGTCCGCCGGAAAAATTTAAAAGATTTAAAAAAAAAAATTCTA